CTTGTCCCTACGGCAGGTAGACACCACGCTGTAGGGGAAAAAGCAACAGCCCCAACTGTGGCAAAACTTAGTAGCTTACCAAGCAAGTCTGGGACTGCTCACCAGGCTGGAGGATTTGGTAAAGAATACCTCTTGGGGAAAGATGAAAGGAGTTGGGGTGGCAGCCAGTAGCAGTAACAGGCAAGGACAAATTATCATAGATTGGTCTTGAATGTGTAGCTACATAAAAGGTGATGGAGTGTTCCAGCTTCCCTGAGAACCAGCTCAGAGGAAATGAAAGGAGAACAGAAAAGATTAAGGTTAGATTTAAGGCAGCACTTTCTCCCAGGGATGATAATGGGCCCTTTATTCAGTGACCAAGGAAGGCTGTGAACTCATCTCCCTCCTTCCCACTTTTGAGGCATTTGGGAATCCATCTCTTTCAGTCCCACTCCAGCCTGCTTGGAGACAGGAATGAGCCGTTGACTTTGAAAAGTCCCCACCATTCAGGTAGGAGATCCTTTCCCTGGATGGGCCTCCTGGGTTCTTTGCTGAGGTTGAGGACAGCAGACGTGCTGGCTCCAGGGCTCTGGGAGGGAGAAGCAGCAGTCATGGCATCTCTTTCAACACGCTCCCTGCCAAATTGATTCAAATTGGCTTGGATATGAACATATGATTAAAGGAGCGGTGCGATTCATTTATCAGGAGAGATTAAAGAGCGGCATCTGCGCAGCCTAGCTGGGGGACAATTAAGGAGCAAATCGCTAAGTGTCTGTGCCACCAGGCATGGGGGCGGGGTATGGGGGAAGGACAACTGGGATAATTTGCCAAGAGGACACAGGACAAAAGGAGGTAGTTCGGGAATCACTGTGTGCTACTGTTGTCTCTGGGTACAGACTGAGCAGCATGCAGAGCCTCACAGGCCCCGCCCATGCCTCTTATCCGGGACTGAGCCATCCTGAGGGGCAGATTAAAAAGGAGGATCTAGTGAGGCGGCTCTGAGCCTGGCACAGGGAGAGATCTGCTGCCTGTTTTACAGGAATCACGTCTTAGGGCCCAGAGCTACTACAAGTGTATAGGTGAGGGCAGGAACTTACAGAGCTCTGACAGTACACCCAAAATTAAGGTGAGCTTTGATGGACCTGCAGCCTCCTGGACTCCCCTGGGGAGTTGGTGCTGAGGGGATCGCTTCCTCCCCAGCCTGGAGCCTAGCACCCTGGCTGAGAAGCATTGGTCGTGTGAGCTGTTGTCTAGCTTTCCCAGACAGCCTAGGGAGTTCCCTATCATCCCTTTTCCCTGCCTCAGAGCCTTTGCTTAAGCTCTTCTTTCTTACCAGCACATCTGTCCCATCATTAACTATCTGTGGAAATGCTATCCTTTCTTCAAGTCCCAGATCAAAATACCAACTTCTAGAAGCCTTCCCAGTCCTCCCCTCTCCTTGCAGTGAGAATGCCTCCCCTCATTATATTAGAGATTGATATGAGATTTTGCAGTTAACCACAGGCCTGAGTCAGTGTGGGTCTGTAGCTGGCAGGAGCTTTGTCACATCAGTTCTTGAAAACAGAAAATGCACCAAGATATTTGAAGGCAGGAGTAAAAGACGGAAGCGAAAGAACTGAACAGGAGCCAGTAGTTTAGAAAAAAAAATTAACTTCACTTTTACTACTTTCTCTATTCAACCTTAAGGAGTAGTGAAGGGCCGTCTCTTAAGTTTAAGATGAATCCATTTTACACTTCTCTACCACTCATTTTTGGGGGGTACTTTTCTCCTTTTTCTTTCTTGACATTTTCTGGGCGGCTGACATCACCAGAGCCTTGGCATTAGGGTTGTCTGATATTCTTTGCTGCCTACCTGCCCAAACCAGGGGAGCCTGATCAACCAGCTGTAAACACTTTATGCGTGCAGGGATTATAACTGGTCGAATTACAAAAGGTAGAAGAGAAGGAGCAGGGAGTCTTTTGTTTCTAGCCCTTCTGCCTCAACTGCCACTTAGCTTTCAGTGAGGGGGACCAAGCATGGACTGGGGCAGGAGGGCAGAGACTGAGCACGGCTGAGAAGCCAGCACTCCCAGCCTGTTCACACTGCCCTGTGGGGCTGGGACCAGAGAGAGTTCTGCCAAGTTTTGATCAAAAAGTCATCTTTGGAATGACTAAAATTAAACTTAAAAAAAAAAAAAAATCTAATACAGAAAAAAAACGAACAAAAAAAAAAAAAAAAAAAAAAAGGGCATGAGGGATTTCTGCAATTGGTGAGATTAAATAGAGGGACCTCAATGTTCCCAAGTGGAGGCCAGGGGAGGAAGAGGCCTGGGGTCTGCGCCAATCTGAATTATAATCCACAGGCTCTTAAAATTAAAGGTGGAGTTTGTGTCTTCCTTGACCAATCCTCTCATCCCACTACCTCTGCCTGCCCCAAATGACTTGTCAAAGCTCTCTGGATGGCACTAGTCTGACGTGGGAGCAGACCAGAGTGATTCCCCCAGGTCCCCACCAGAATCCTGACAGTGCTCTCCCATGAGCACCTTGGATTTTACCTGAGCCTGAAGGAACAGGCAGGAAGATTGGCAGAGCCAGGAGGAAAGGACATTTATTTCCATACATCAGGTAATCGGGGAAGAGAGAGCACAGCCCAATGAGTACAAACTAATTGCAGGAGAGGAAAAGGGACAGCAGATGGGAGCAGCACCAGGCACTGCCCTTGGGCCCCCAAGTCTGGTGATGTTGGCGGGATGACCTTTAGGGTGGGGGCTGGGGCTGTCAGGCCAAATGTTGTCATATCTGCGATAAGTGTGTTGGGAGGCAGGGCAATTGGAAGAAAAATGACTCAGGCTCAGGACACAGGGTGAGGACTCGTGTCTAATACATTAGTACTGACCAAACCTTCCCTCTTCAGTTTTTCTGATCACAAGCCCTCAAACCAAGACCTTCCCTCTCAAATTGAGCTTATGGTCCAGGCAGCTTGAACAGAGGGAGAGGGAAGCAGTGCGTGGATAAGCCCTGAACTGGCAGAGGTGGAATGGGTTTACTCTTAAATAGGTCATTGCACTTAACACATTGGTGAGCAGAAGAGGGAGTCGGGGCTGAATGTTCCGGATAGTACATATGCACCCCGTCTCTGTAGGCTTGCTCAACCCAAACCCAGAAGCACCTGGACCCAGCTCTGCTTACCAGTATCTCCAGCTGCACAAAGAAAGGACTGCTTTCTGAAGAGCGAACATGGAGATGAGATTCCCCTAGTTGTTTTGGGGCCCCAGCTGCTACCAAAGCCCCCTCCCATTCTCAGGGATGCAGCTGTGATGGAGAGATTGGATATTTAAATTAAAAAGTAAAAAGACAGCAGGCACTGAGAAGAGAAAGCCCTCACCCCAAGCCAGGGAGAAGGAATTGCTGTTCCCGCTCCCAACTCCTCTCCATGGACCCAGCAACCTAGAATGTCCCAGCAGGCAATCTGTCCCACGTCCCTGAGCAGAGGGCTGAGATGGAGGTCAACTTGCTGGCTCCATGCAGTGCCAAACCACCTGCCACTGCCCACAGCAGCCCAAGGTTAAAGCCAAGAGTGTGGCATTTTGGAGGCAGGAGGTACAAAAAGTTCTTTTAGAAACTCCTCTTCCCCCACCTCTTCCACGTGGAGACATCAGACCCCGAAGCCTGGAAAGCCCCCTGACCCAAGAGGGTCAGGCGTTTCCTCTGCAGATGAGCAGTCAGGTGGGGAGACCTGTGCCCCTCCATTTCCTGGGAAAGGCGCTGTGGCAGCAGTAACCCATGGGTGCGAGGGCTATGCGTTGGTCTCCCTTGGCTTGGCCTCTGTGTCACTGTCACTCAGGTAGCTGTGGGAGTGCCGGGTCCTGGAGGTGCTGTCGAGAGGGTCATGGTCATCATCTGACCGGTCAGGGGCGAGGGACTTCCAGTAGCTGGTGGGGCTGCAGGGAGAGAGGAACAAGGTCACGAAGGAATGACATTCCTAACCTTCAGCACCAAAGCCTTCTATCCTGGGGAGGCCCCCCAGGCCCAGTCGTCGTGTTCCCCAAAAGTCCCAAGTTGCTAAATAAAAACTTCCCCTGGCTTTCCCAAAAGATACTCAGAGTAGTAAGAGAAAATATTGTTCTGACTCTGAAAACTTAGAAAACTCTTGAGGAAAGTGAAGCCGTAGAGCAGTGGATCTCAGACTTGAATGTGCATGAGAATCAACTGCAGATTCCTGGGTCCTTCCCTTGAGAAATTCTGATTTGCTAGCTCTTGGGTGGAACCCAAGAATTCTGCATTTTCAATACCCTTCCCAGAAGATTCTAGCACAGGCAGTCCATGGACCACACCGACATGGAGATTGGAGTTTACATGATTGCAGTTTGTCTACAAGTTGTTCTCAAGAAGATTCCTTCTAAGCAGGGCCTTTCTCCATGGAATACGCCGAGATCTGAGCCCTTTCTCCTCATCACGTCCTCCTAAGGCCTGTGAGAATTTCTGCCCTTGACCATGGCATCATCTACTTACCACAAGGAATGGAGACTCAGGATGTAGGGGCTGGCAAGACCTGTTTCAGGGTGGCATAACTGTCCCCCCCTTTTTTTTTTTTTACACCTACAGCACCTGGTCTTCCTAGGTGGTCTCCCATCCAAGTATTAACCAGGCCCGACCCTGCTTAGCTTCTGAGATCAGACAAGATCAGGCGTGTTCAGGGTAGCAAGGCCGTAGGCCCAAATGTCTCTTTCTTGGTACTATAACCTAACTCCTTAAACGTTTTCATCAGCCCATTGGGAGCCTCTACTCCCAAGGTGTGGAGCAGCATTACCCGTGGATGGAGCAGGCTCATGGCATCAAGCAAGGATGGAATTTCATCTTCCAGCACCAGTTTCCTCTTCGCTTTCTTTCCCAAAGCCGTAGAGCTGCCTTCCCCTGCCCCCACCTCACTGCCTCTGCCAGTTTAGTGCACTGTAATGTCAACATTCTTGGAGAAAATGCAGCTGAGTGGCTCCACCCCTACCAGCGTCCTGTACTCAATGGGTCCCTGACCAAGTACTTCCAGGGACACAGCCCTGCTTTCAGGTCCCAAAGAGCTTCCACTGGGATAACATAACTCCACAGGAATTCTGTGATACCACTGCCAACAATTGTAAGAATCTGAGGAGGGCCCCTGTTTACAAGCCCTTTCAGAGTTCTATCCCCAAACCCACAGCAGAGGAAACAGAATTCTGCAAGAAGAATCACATTCTTAGCTTTTCTGTGAAGAAAGAATTTGGTCATTGAGTACTTCTTGTTTGTGAGACAGTCTCCTAGGCACTCTGGATATGCTCTTATTCTTCACAATGACCTCATGAAATGTCATGAGGAAGCTGGTTCAAAGAGATGGAACATCTTGCCCAAGGTCATACAGCCAGTTTGTAAATTTGAACCTGGGACTCTTAGATCGCAAAGCCTTTTGATAACTCCACTTTGATGCTAGATTGGGTGACCTGAGGCAAAAACAAGACTGAACCTGAATTCTCCCTGCTGGCCTGGATGAGAGCCCAGGGGGTGTGTAAAGATAGGTCTCTTGCTTTCTCTCTCTCTCTGGGGAGAAGGAACAGCCTGATAAAATACATGTTCAATTATGCAAAATGGTTCAGGAATGGGGCAGTCTGGTTAATAGTTATCGTATTTCTCATGAATGAATTACCATTTTTAAAGGAATCAAAATAGCACAAAACACATTTAATACAAACTAGACTGAACATAAATGAGTCTTACTTTGATGGGCCAAAGACACTTAAGGACTCTGGGATGTCTCAGGAACAAAATTATAAAGCTCAATATGACTATACAACAGAAAAAAAAATCTGGGTTATTTTAGCTTTCGGGTTGTTTGAATTCTAAGTTAGTGGGAACCTGGTTTTATTTTTTAGACAGAATTTCTCCGCATCCAGTGCTAAGGTCTGCTGTCAGGTAAAGAAGGACTGGCTTTGCAGAAAGATAGTGGGGGTTATTTTGTGGGCAGAGGGGGGTGAGGCAGATGCCCGGCTGGGACCCAGATGCAAATGGGGTGATGCTGGAGAGCCTGGGGTGCTCTTTTCCATTCTAGCACCTCTTAGAGTGGAGCTGCAGCCTCTGTTCCCACATTCCAGTGCTGGCCAGGCAGACACTTGGATAAATGACAGCTGGGTTTCAACACTGTTCCATTTAGATGCTGGACAGTGGCAGAGGCACCGGGGAGAGATAACTCCATGCTTCTCTCCCCTGCTCTGTGGAGCCACAAGATCCCCTTGCTCCTACTGCCACAGCTGTCAGAGAGCCAACAGCAGGCAGCTAGGCCCCTCCCCAGGGCAAGAGTCAGGGCTGGCAATTTGAACATTTTAACCAAATTGTTTAGAAAGCTTTCCTCCCCACAAGCCAGTGTCTCCTGCTCAGCGCTGTCACAAACAATTTGGTACATAAGCTAATTCCCACTGGGTGAGCCTAGGGAGGCAGCCCCCTCCCCTTGCCTTAGCTATAGATGGCTCCGTGTTCTGAATTCTCACTGGTCCCCATCACCAGATGAGAAGCTAAGCCACTATTCTGCCTCTGCCTCCACTCTTGGCAGTTTATCCACCCAAAGCCAGTCTATGCTGAGTCCAACCAGGTCTTCTCTCCCCTGGCCCTGTCTTGCTGGCTCCATATTGGTTGGCTAGCTTCTGGCTCGGTGCCTACTCTCCCCACAGTGAATCCAACCCTTCTTGGAAGGAAGGGGTTGGTGGTGTGTAGGGTTTTAGGGCTACTCTTCTTTTGCCAGTGGACAAGAGGAACTGTGCTGGTGGCTGAGGGAAGAAACAGGCTTTATGTGTTTTTGTTCTTGTTGATTGTGGGGTCAAGGGTGATGATGGGCTGAGGGAACAGTTGCTGGTCAGTGTGGGGTGGCCTGGCTAGGCTCAGGTCTCCCTCTTTGGGTAAGAGTACAGTGCTCAGAAGGGCCTGGCCCTCTCTGCTTTCCAAACCTCTCCAAATGGTCCATCAATTGACTTCCTGTACTGGGGCAGCAGGGCATTCAGCGGAGCCACTGAGGGGAAGACTGAGGTGACAGACACATATGACTCCTGTTCTTTCTCACTATGGAGCTGACGACTGCTCCCTAGGGCAACCGAGATTCTTCTTGCTCTTCCCAGAGCATCTGCCACATAGGAGAAGAGACAGAGCAGTGCTGACCCCAAGGGCTTGGTTTTAGAGCAGCTCAGGGACTAAGGAATCTGAGCTGGCCATGAGCCTGGTCTGAGTTCAAGTTCCATCTCCCCCATCCTATCTCCCATCTCCAAATAGCTTCGGATACCATTCGCTTGCGCTTGCTCCATTCTATAAAACATAATAACTTATATATCCATAACATATATACCCATAACGTTTATACCCTTCGGTATAAAAGGGACAAAATCAGTGTACTTGTCCAGCTGCTCCACTGCACAAGAAGCCCACAAGCATGCGACAGGTATGTTAGTTCATGCATCTCAGAAACAAATACCCATGCTTCAGGGGGTTGCGCTCTGGGGTCATACCTCCTGGGAAGCAGCAAGCTTGCCCTGGGAGGGTACCATGCCAGAAACAGCTTCACATAACCAGGGTGATCCAAATGTCACCACCTACCAGGGAAACTGGCAACAATGGCATTCCAATGAGTCAGTCTCTGCCTTTCTTCCGAGGTGGGGGATGTGGGTAGAAAGGACCTAACTGCTAGATCTTCTTCCCTACAGGGAGAAGGCCGGGGGAGGCTGGAAAGCCAGGAGGGGGCTGTCACTCAGCAGCTCCTAATTTCTATTCATTAAAACTTTACAAGATGAAATGAGGTGACGCCCATGTGTAGGCTTCAGGTGGGCGGGTTGAGGAAGGAGTCAGGCATCTCTGGGTCTACTGTAGGGTACAGTGCTGTGGGGGTGGCAGCCCTGTGAGCCCTGCACTCCTAGGCTTGAGATCCATGCCAGGGAGGAAGGTGGTATTGCAGGGCAGGGGGAGAGCTAAGCAAAAGGCCTCAGAATAGCTGGTGGCCACTGATACACCATCTGATACACACTGGGTGGGTCAGTAAGGGCTCTTTATCAGGCCCAGCTTGTTGGGGCCATGGACAAGAGCTCCCGTATGGGTGCTGCCAGGCACCCACAGTGAACATTTTGCCCACATGCTCTGCCTTGGGCTGTATGGAAGGGTGGTTAAGGGGAAGTTGGATAGACTCTATTCAGATCCTGGCAACATCACTTCCCAGCTGTGTGACCTTGGCAAGTGATTTAACCTCCTGAGCCTCAGCTTCCTCTTCAATAAAATGGGGCTAATCAGACCTTTGTTAAGGGATTAGTGTGAGGATTAAATGAATGAAGGGAC